AGTGGCCGCTCCCAGCCACCGCAGCCCTGACCTGCTGGGCTCCGGCGATCCTTCCACCTCAGCCTTCCGAGTAGCTGGAACTACAGGCGCGAGCTACCACGCCTGACTAATTTTTGATTTGTTGTAGAGATGAGGTCTCGTCAAGTTGCCCAGGAGGGTCTCGAAGTTGCAGGCTCAGGCCATCCACTCACCTCGGCCTCCCGAAGTGCTGGGATTACAGGCTAGGCCACTGAATCCGGCCGAGGGCTGCTTTCTGAGGGCAAGCCGTTCGGTTCCCTGCTCTTCCCCGCGGCTGGAACAGTAGAAGACGCGGCGAATGTTTGATGAATGAACAAGCAACAGCAGACGCACAGCAGTTCATGGCGATTGAGGGCTGGGAGGGGACGAGAGGGAAAGGAGAGGGGAGGGAGAAGCGGGGGAAGGAGGGAACGGTGGTGGCTTGATACTGCAGTCCCGTGTGAGTCCACTTTCGTGCGGATGGTGACGGCTGAGAGGGGTTGGCCAGGAGGGACAGACGGCCAGGAGGCCCAGGAGTGAGGGGAGGCTGTGGTGGCATCTGCAAGAGGGACGCCAGAGGCCGAGGGCACAGAGGCCAGTCTCACAAATCCCAGGGTCCTCCTTTGGCGTCCACGAAGGGAGCCTCAAAGCAGCAGGATGGGGGTGGGTCCAGAAGCACCTCTACAAAGTAAGGAGGCCTCTAGCTCCCTGGAGGCTTAAAGGGGTCTGGGGAGAGGAAGGACATGGGCTCTCAGGCGTCAGTGTCTAGGAGGGGGGTGCACCCACAGGCTGTCGCATGCCCGGACCATCAGGCTCACCACTCGGCAGCCCACTCTGGGAAGCTGACAGGCGCTGGCAAGGATGGCAGGAGCAGTGAAGCTGCCGATAGCAGAGGTGACTGTGGGAGCTGCGGGGTGTAGCTTGGGGACGTCATGGCTCCACCAAGTCAGAGGGCGGTCTTCGTGCCTCCTGGCCACCGTCTGGTGGTCCAGGAGCAGCCCCCGGTGAGCGTGCGCTGGGCTACGGGGAGGCGGGTAAGCACAGCACAGGGCTTTGCTCTCTTTGTCAAAGCCAGGGCTGTGTGTAGGTGGTGAGTTCCCCATCATTTGTGGCATTCAAGGGGGACAGCTAGTTGCTGGGGCTAATGCAAAGAACTTCAACAGGACTCAGTCCGATTCTAGGAAGGGGATTGGGGTAAGACAGATGACTGGATAGCTCCAAGGGTTTTAAGGGCTCGTGGCTCAGCTCTGCCTGGAGGTCTTTAGTTCTTCTGCGTGTCTCCTGTGCAGGCTTGGCTCCTTGCTTTATCTCCCTCGCTGCAGCCTCGTAACAGCCTTACGCTGTCCTGATGATGTGCCTCACCTTACAGGTAAGGGCCCTGGGACTCAGAGGCTCGTGTTCTCGGGGCTAAGCCGTGAGCTGTGGCTAGTTTGATTCTGGACTCAACCCCACTGTCATGACCGCTGCCCTCTCAGTTCTCAAGGGAACATGGGACAGGGGAGCCCAGACCCTGCACACCACCCCTGGGCGAGAGCAGCTCTGAGGCCTGACTCATGCTCCTTGAACCCCAGCCAAGGCTGCTTTTCCTCTTCCCATCTGTGCCCTGAGGCTGCCCACACCCCCTCTGAGCTCCTGGGTGATCTGGGGACAGCAGCACCCTGGCAAGGAGCTCTGCAGGAAGGGACCCCCCCATTCATACACACAGGCAAAGATCGAGAAGCCAGGGGCTAAAGACAGAAGACGCCTCTCACGGGGCAGGTGCTGATGAGAAAGTGCAGAACTCGGAATTGAACGGGCACTTTGCATTGCAGAGCCACAGTGCCCCATTAAGCTCTTCTGGGCCCAGAGCCCTGAGAAGCTTGGTGAGTCTTCATTGCTGAAGACAATGAATAATGCATAAGTCAGTACAGTCTCAATTCAAACGATGACTTGTGCGTCACAGCGAAGGCTTCATTCCAATCCAATCCGTGTTCCAATGTGATCCTATACTTCAGAAAGCCTGCGTCTGGCGGTCAGGTGACCCTATTTCTTGATGACTAAAGTTTGGGTCCTCTAGGGAAATGCTTCTCAAAGCTCAAAATGTGGACCGCTGCGAGTCTGCAGACTGCTTGTTACTGGCCCACGGAGAAGGAACACAAGCGTGGAGTGGGAACGCTTAGAAACCTTCACAGCCACTTGACAAAGTGAACGGATGCAGGTTGATTCTAACAATAAAAGTCTGGGCTTGCACTATATATGCTCATTTTAAAATTCTTTTTTGGGGAGTAATTCAACTTTATGTTTTGCAGAAATATTGATTTAAGATACATTAAAAATTAGCTGAGCGTGGTGGCTCACACCTGTAATCCCAGCACTTTGGAAGCTGAGGAGGGACATGATTGCTTTAAGTCAAGAGTTCAAGACCAACCTGGGCAACATAGTGAGCCCTGGTTTCTACAAAAAAATTTAAAATTGAATCGGGCACAGTGGCAGTGCACACCTGTAGTCCCAGCTACTCGGGAGGCTGAGGTGAGAGGATCACTTGAGCGCAGGTGCCCGAGACTATAGTGAGGCTATGTTCACACCACTGCACTCCAGCCTGAACAACAGAGCAAGACCCTGTCTTCAGTGAAATAAAATAAAATAAAAGTTAGAAATTTTTTAAAAAGCCCATTGTCTCACTGGGGTACTTCCAAATAGAAACTGTTTTCTGTGGTTCTTAATCTGGGGGATGGAAGAGATTTTGCCCCCCTCCCCTGGGGGAACCCTTGGCATTGTACAGGGATAGTTTTAGTTGTGGCAGCTGTGCTGAGGTTCTACTGGCTTCTAGGGGCTGCTAAATATCCTATAATGCACAAGACAGCTCCCACATCAAAGAATAAGCTAGCCCAAAATATCAGGGGTGCTGAGGTTGGGAAAGGCTGGTAGACACACTCACTCCCTCCTCTGAAAACCACATGGGTGGTGTGGCTCTCCAGGGTCAGGATGGCCTGGCCTTGCTTGAGCTGGGGTTTCAGAGCCCTGGCCCCTGACATCCAGGTCAGGTCTCGTTCTAGGGCCCCCGATGGCCACAGTTCTCAACAGTGTCCTTAGGCATGCACAAGAACTGGGCTAGAGACAGTGGTCTGCTTCTCCCAGAAGGACATCCTTGCTCCACAAGCAGGATTCTGCATGGGGATAGTAATCCCTGGTTTCTTGGATTCTCCCTCCCAGACAGTCACACTGAGCTGCAGCAGGAAAAGCAGGTCACATCTGGGTGGGATGGATGTGGCATTCACAGTGGGAAGACGGTATGTGTTTGTCGGGGCTTTGCACTCCTTTTCTGAATTCAGAACATGTGGGGAGCACACGAGAGAGCAGATACTGCCTTGTCCTCCTGGAAGGGTTGGCAGGAGATGGGGACTGGGACATTTCACTCACCTGCACACCCCATCCATCCCTCTCACCTGCCTGTAATTTCTCTCCCTCCCTTTTCCTCTGCTGCTTCTCCTGGCTCCCCTCCAGCTTGGAGGAAGCACCGGAGCAAGGATGTCACTCTGGGAGAAGCAGACTACTGTCTCTACCCTTAGCTTCTGTGCAGTGACACAGAATTTCTACCAAGGGAGATTAGCAGGCATTAAGAATGCCACTTCTGGCTGGGCTCGGTGGCTTAGCCTGTCATTCCAGCACTTTGGGAGGCCAAGGCGAGTGGATTGCCTGAGCCTGCAGGTTTGAAACCAGCCTGGGCAACTTAGCGAGAGCTGGTCTCTACAATAAATAAAAAATGAGCCAGGCCTGGTAGCTCATTCCTGTAGTTCTGGCTACTTGAAAGGATGAGGTGGAAGGATCGCCGGAGCCCGGTAAGTGGACACTGGGGTGGCCGTGAATGTGCCACTGTACTCCAGCTTGGGTGATGGTGTGAGACTCCAACTCAAAAAAAAAAAAAAAAAAAAGAAAAGAAAAAGAACATCTCTTCCTAATAGAACAAAAAAAATATGACACGTCAAGAAACAGGAACAAAGTATGGGACAAGTTCATGCCTAAGGATATTTTTGAAAACTGTGGTGATTTTGGTGTAAACAATTAAAAGGAAGATGTAGGTACATTATACTTGCAGCAACAAGCAAACCAGGAGACCAGACATAAGTGTAACAGAAAAAAGACCAGGGAAGATACAACTAAAAAGAGCCCTCTTGGGTCAGAGCATCCTCAGACTCTGCCAAAGTCCTGCCCCTGCAAAGGAGCCCTAGTTTAATTAGACCAGACTGTGAAGCATATTGTACCCCGGGTGTTGTCAAAAACAACAGGACAATCAACAGGCAATTACTGGAGACTAACAGCTGAGTGTGATATCAACAGAAGCTGACTATCCCTAGGAGACTCTGTTCCTGCCCAAGTCTACATTCTCTGAGAAGGGACATCACAGCCTACACACTGTGGGGGAAGAGCCTTCAATGAAGAAGTCCAGGCAAGCCACTAAATAAATAAGCAATCAGATAAGCCAAAACAACTAGACCTGGAGGAGGGGATCAGTATCTAAAGTTGATACACCATATGATCTTGTAATATAAATGGCCAGTTTTCAACCAAAAATTGTGTGACATGCAAAGAAACAGGAAAATTGCCACTCATAGACAGAAACAAAAGCAGCCAATAGAAACTGCCTGCGAGGGAGCCCAGATGTCAGACTTAGCCAACAAAAGACTTCAAAGCAGCTATTATAAATATGTTCGAGAAGCTAAAGAAAGCCATGTCTAAAGAATTAAAGGAGGGCCTGCAGACAATGTCTCATCAAGTAGAGCATATCAATAAAGGGAAATAAATTATTTTGAAGAGAGCCAAATGGAAATTCTAGCATTAAAAAATATAACAACCAGAATGAGAAATTGGCTAGAGTGGCTCAACTGTGGATTTGAGCTGGCTGAAAACATACATAATCAGAGAACTTGAAGACAGATAGAGATTATGTCATCTGAAAAGCAGAGAAAAAAAGAGAATGAATAAAAATGAGTGAAACACGAAACACCATTAAGGACACCAATTATGCATAATGAAGCATCAGAAGGAGAGGACAGAGAGAAAAGGGGGGGAAATATTCAAAGAAATGGCTAGCATAAAACTTCCCAAATCTGATGGAAAATTTTAATCTCTATGTAAAAGAATTTCAATGAATTCCAAGTGGGATAAACACAAAGAGATTTCACACCCGGACACAACATAGTCAAAACGTGGAACAACAGAGAGAAAGAGAAAATTCTGAAACTGACAAGAGAAAAACAACTTGTCATATACAAGGGAAACCAAGTAAAATTAACAGCTGATTTCTCATCAGAAACAACAGTGCCCAAAAGGCAGCGGGATGTCATAGTAAAATAAGTGGGGGAAACACACCAACCAAGAATCTTATATCCAGTGAAACTAACTTTCAAAAAAGAAGAAAAAATAAAGACGTTCCCAAATAAATAAAAAACCAAGACCATTTAGTGCTTTTGTTTCACCTTTGGTACATCAGCAGAACATTTCTCTTTGAGGACTTTACTCATCCAGGAAAACAAAAAAAAGTCACTTGAGGAGAGATTGGGTGAATAGGGAGGGTGTGGCATGGGGGCCATAATGTTTTTACTCAAAACTTGCTCCACATTCAGTGTGGAATGGGCAGGTACACTCGTAAATCACCCATCATGAAATGGGCAAAGGAGTTGAAAGACTCTTCCCCCAAAAAAGATTCACTGTAGCCGAAGCAGCCTCTCACAACAACGCTAGCTGGTACACTGATGCTGATGGATTCTTTGAACGCTTACTTGCTGGGGAAAGCCTGTCTTACAAGGGGGCGGCTCTCTAAAAGATAATTCTATTTTTTTCAGGGCCCCCCCCCACAGGTATTAGATACAGCACAATTGTTTCTTAGACACAAAAACATGCATAACAAAAGAGAAAATAGACAAATTGGACTTTAAAATTAAGAAGTTTTGAGCTGAAAATGATACCATCAGGAAAGTGAAAAAGATAACCCACAGATGAGGAGAAAATATTTTATAATCATTCATTTGGTAAAAGACTTATATCTAGAATATGTAAAGAACTCTTATACCTCAGTAACAAAAGGATACATAACCCAAGGATCTGAAAAGACATTTCTCCAAAGAAAATTTAAAAATAGCCACATAAAAACTGTTCAACATCATTTAATCATCAGGAAAATGAGAATCAAAATCACAGCAAAATATCACTTCACACCCACTAAAATGACCGTAATCAGAAGACAGTAAGATGAGGATGTGGAGAAATTGACACTCTAATACACTGCTGGTAAGAAGGTAAGACGGTACACTTTGGAAAACAGTTTGGAATTTGTTAAAAAGTTAAGCACAGAGTTACTGTATGACCCAGCAATTCTACTCTTAGGTATTTACCCAAGAAAAATTAAAATGAGTTCACAGAAAAAATTTGTATGTGAATATTCATAGCTAAAAGACAAAGTCTATTGATTTATAAAAGAAATCTGTGCTTTAGGCCTGGCTGGCTCCAGGGGCTACAAAGACATCATCAAAATGTGGAGTCCTCATGCCTTGGCCTCACTCTCAGAGTGGTGACTTTCCCACGGGGATCCCCAGAGGATCCAGGCTATGTTCAGGACCATGGAGCAGGCAGAGACCTACTCATTTCAGAGTTCCTATAAAAGCCTCAGGTAAGGTTCTCATTGCCAAGCCTGGCTCTGTGGCCAGCCTGAGATCCTGGAATGAGAGGCTTTCATCAGCCAGGCCCGGATCTATGCAGTCTCTGGGGTCAGAGGTAAGGTCGATAAGACCATAAAACATGGATTTCTAGAGAGGTGTGGTCATAAACTGGAAAGGGGGAGCTCCAAAATAAACAGGCTCACTGGGTACAAAGCAGACAAAACAGCCAACGTACAGCTCAGCCCTGATGTCCCCTGCTGTGGGAGGTAATCTTTAAGAAGGTGTTTGGGCTACTCTCAAGCCACCTCACCACAAAACTACTGTGAACAACCCCTGCCTTATTATTAAATACAAAATATTAACATTGGCAGTTACCCATTAGGCTAGTGGTTTCCAAACTTTCCCAGATCATGGAACTTTAGCATCTCAGCCATTTTTTTTTACAGTGTTACAGTGTTCACAGGCCAAAAGTAATACCTAACGATTGCATTCATTTTGTTGTTAGGTCCAAACAACTTAGTGGTTGCAGTCCACTCGATGTCTGACCCAGATGTTGCTGCTTTCTTCAGTGTCCAACAGGTGTTTCTGTGCCTATAGTGCCCCTATGCATCTGCAGGGGTGCCCTGGGGCAGCTCTGTGCAGTTTAGGAACTGCAGCTCTAGATATGAAAGGTCTGATAGGACATACTTGATCATCACTCGGCCTGATGAATCGCAAGCCAAATGACTGGATACTTTTTAAAGTCACCATTGCCCTACCATGACAAGGCATTACATGGATGGGTTACACATGAAGTGGCAACATTTCTTCCAGCTCACTCCCTTAGCAGCCTTGTCATCATTCTGAGGATCGATCTTCCTCTCTGTATTAGTCAGTTCTGCAGAGAAACAGAAGCAATAGGAGAGATAGAGAGATACACAGATACATACATCGATGAGAGGTAGCCATAGCTATGGCCATAGCCATAGCCATAGCCATGGCCATCGCCATAGACTTAGGTGTAGACATAGCCATAGCCATGGCCATAGCCATAGACTTGGGTGTAGACATAACCATAGCCATGGCCATAGCCATAGACTTGGGTGTAGACATAGCCATAGCCATTGGCATTGCCTGTAGCTGTAGATGGACATGGACATAGGTATAGAGTAGGTATAAATGTAGACATAGGCATAGACATAAACATATGGATATAGTTATAGGAGAAGAGGTTTATCAAAAGGAATTGGCTCACCTGATTACGGAGATGGGCAAGTCCCAACGTGCAGCGTGGGGTGGTAGGCTCGAGACCCAGGAGAGAAATGAAATCCAGATGAAATCCAAAGGCAGTCTGTGGGAGAAATTCCCTCTTGCGCGGGGAAGCCAGCCTGTTTGTTCTAGTCAAGCCTTCAACCGATTGGATGAGGCCTACCCACAACATGGAGGGCAGTCTGCTTAGTTGGAGTGTATCAACTTAAACATTAATCTCATCCAAAGACACCCTCTAAGTGGGCACATCAAATTAACGTTCACAATCCCCAGGTAGCCTTCACAAGGTGTTTTATGTTACTCCTACATGTTAGAACTCACGATGTGCTCACACCTACCCTTACCTTAAGGACAGCAACTTACTTTAACCCTTCTGTTGAGCGATCTTATTTTTGCCCCCAGGACTCTATTTTTCAAAATCATCTTCTCTTCATCTTCTATCCTGGGAGTCCTCTCTCGCGGAGCAGACAGGCCTACTCTCTTTTTGCTCAGCTCTCAATTTGTCACCGGTTCTCTCTTTTGATTCATCCTTGAGTCAAGCTGATGCTTGCCCTTGTGTGGAGTTTCAGCTAATCTTGCTCCGTGGCTCCGGCCCTCGGAGGAGCCTGCTCTGTTCCGCCAGCCCATGGCATGACCCTCTGTGCACTGGGTAGGACTCCCAGGCGGGGCACAGCCTCTAGCCCTCAACCGGCAGGCTGGATGTGGGGTGGATCACTGCTGCATGAAGCCCCTTGAGAAGGGGCTTCCGCCTTCTGTTCATGTAAACCCAGAACTGCCATGCCCCTCTTCCCTCTGGATTTGGATCCCCTGGGCCCCTGCCAACGATGTAGTGGCAATTCAGGGGACGCGAGGCTTAAATGGAAGAACCTGTTCTCTCCAGAGCCACAATCTCTTTGAAACAAGATTATGGGGGGGGGGGCTTTCCCCAGTTACCCCTTCTCCCATCCGAACCTGCTCTTCCAAGGCCCTAAAGCAGCACTTCTAAAAGACATTTTTTCAGAAGTTCCTGAGAAGCTGGGACTCAACTGCTGTCTGCACTACCCAGGCAAACCCAGGAGAGGTCAGCCAGCCAGAATAACCCTCATCTAAGGATATCTCCAGTGTCCATTTCCTTTTTCCTGGCCATGGCTTCCTGGTTTCAGTTTGGGGCCTGGCTTTCTCACCCATTCCCAGTTGGCACAGTTCCAGGTGACTGGCCCTCTGCTGGGGCCTGGGGTGGGCACTGGATCCTCGCCTAGGAAAGTATCTCTTTTGGCCACCGTGCTGGGAGCAGCAATGGGCTGTGGGTTTTATGGGTCATGAGAATGAGGCCACAGACCTCCACCGGAGTTCTCGGGAACAAGACTCCCTCTCTCTACTGTGATTGCTAGGCTGGCAAGAGGCACCCTGGAGTAACTGATCATTGTTGCGGTCACCACTGAGAAGTCCTTCTCGAGAGTGACAGCCACAGACAGCGGTCCCTGCCAGTATCTTTTCAGCCCCTAGATTCTGCCATGCCTGAAGCCATCCCACCACCTCTGGATTTTTTTTCTTTCTGTTATACATCTGTGAACACCTCTTTCTGGCTTAAGCCAGCTTGAATTAGACAACGGCCACCTGGAATGGCCAGAGTCCTGACGGACACATAGACCGAAAACCCAGCCCCCAAACTAGGGCTCCAGCCTTGGTTCCCAGCCCTGAGCTCCTGTCTGCCGCCAGGGCCTCTGCTGGCGGCACATTCTCACACAGCCTCCTTCGGTCAAAGAGTAGCATCTGTTTTATTAGCAGTAGAAAGTAGCTCTGAACCACATGTAGGGCCAGAGGCAGACCAGGAGCCAGAACCCAGGGCCGCCTGGCCCTTCCGAGAGCCGGGAGCCCGCCGATTTCCGGTTGGGAGGGGTCCTCATCGCCTCGGCCTCGTAGGGACGGCCCTCCACCTGGGTCACCCTCTCGATCCAGATGTCGTAGTTTGCCACCAAGGTGTATATTCCTGGGGTGTCCTTCTGCCCACAGCTCCTGCCCCAGCTGATGATGCCCACCAGGTACCACTTCTCACCAGGCTTTGGGGTGCAGACAAGAGGTCCTCCACTGTCCCCCTGTGAGCAGAGAACACAGTTCAGCCGGGAGTTCCATTGGAGGCCGGGCACAGATCGCTCTCGGAGGAGGGCTCCTCGGCCTTCCCGACGCTGGGCTGCCAAGGGACATCTTGTCCATGCCACTCTCTGCCCGCCCCTTCCGGCTCCATGGGAGAAGCGTGCTGCTGTCAAGCTGGCTCCAGGAGTCGTGGGGTGAGGGCATGGGGACCTGGTGGATGGGACAGGACTGAAGGGGGAGAGAAAGGGGGAAGGCTGGGTGAGCAGAGATCACTCCATGTGCAGCACAGAGAGATGGGAGCAGGAAGGTGGAGTGAATGTCACACAGGCTGAGGGACCAGAGGAGACTAGTTTTGAGGGTCTTATCAAACCAGAGGCTTTGGAAAGAGCTGGAAAGGAAATGGGACATGAGAAGCACTGCTAGGATTATGAGTTGGGTCTCCTTTGATGTTCTTCCAGAGGCGTGGGGGTGAAGACGCTTCTTGTTACGTCTTTGGCATGCGTGTCTGCTAAGAGCAAGTGAGCTAAGCTTTTCAGAATGTGTGGCCCTTCCAGGACGGAAACGCCATCTGTGACTCACAGGGTTAGCCAGCTGTACGGAGCTTGGGTACCAGGTCCCTGCCAGGCACCACATATACATGTGGCTTTCTTCCGTTCATCTTAACATAGAAAAATGAGCCTCCAGGGGCATGAAGGGCTTGCTGAAGGCCAGGGCCGGAACCCAGGATTTCAAAACATTTTTAATTATTAGGAGCATAGAATAATGATATATATTTATACAATATGTGGGATATTTTGATACAAGCATACAGTGTGTGTTCATCACATCAGGGAAACTGAGGGTATTCATCACTTCAACATTTATCTTTTCTTTGTGTTAGAAATATTTTAGCTTCTCTCTAGTTATTTGGAAGTATGCAATAAGTTATTGCTGACTGTGGTCACTCTATGTGCTACCGAATACTAGAGCTTGCTCATTTCATCTGGCTGCATTTTTGTGCCCATGAACCATTCCCAGTTTGTCTCCTCCCTCCTGTCTACCCTTCCCATCATCTGGCAACCGCCATTCTACTCTTCATGAGTCCAGTGTGGTTTTAGCTCCCGTTTATTAGTGAGAATATGAGACATCTGTCTTTCCGTTACCGGCTTACTTCATGGAATGCCCTCCAGTTCCGTCCACGTTGCTGCCGGTAGCAGGATTTCATGCTTTACAGCTGAAGAGTATTCCAGGATGCAGCTCTACCACTACCTTTACGCACTCGTCCGTCAGTGGGCACTTAGGTCGATTCCAAGACTTTGCTATTGTGACTGGTGCTGCGATCAAGATGGGAGAGCAGACATTGCTTTGGAACACCGACTTCCTTTCTTTTGAATATATACCCAAGAGTAGGGTTGCGGAATCCTATGGTAGCTCTCTTTTTAGTTTTTTGAGGAGCCTCCATGCCAGAGTCCAGAATTTCTGATGCCAAAGCCCACGCTCTCTCCACCTCTGCTTTGTAAGCGGTCCTTCTTTGGTGGGGAGACGATGTCCCTTTCTGTGATTCTAAAAACGTGACTGGAAGGAATGGAGCATGACCGTGGACTCCAATAAGGGAGGGGGAGGAGGAACACCTCCTGGCCATGATGTGCAAGGCCCAGTGTCAGCGCCTTGGCTTTTTTCTTCACCCACTCCACCAACTCACTCAGGGAGCTGTTTGGGTTCCCATGACTTCATGAGAAAATCGAGGTGCCGAAGAGGTTCGATCACTCTCATTTGATGAATCCCCATTGAGGAAAAGCTCATGGTTGGGCATTTGGGAGACAAGACGGCATGGTCCAGTAGGGGAGTTGAGAACGTCAACAAATAGGATGGACCGTGTTTGATGAGACAGAAGAAGAATGAGCAAAATATGGAAGCAGCACGGGGGAGGGTTGGATCTGTTGAGGGAAGTTCTGCCAGGAGGGACTTCAACGGATTTTTCTTGAAGGATGGACGGGAGTTGGACAGGTAGTGTGAAAGTATGTTCAGCTGGAGGACTGATTGCAGGAGAGGCAGGCCAGGGGTAGAGGGACGCTTTAAGAGGAGGTGACACACGGGAGGAGGTTGGGATGGAGATAGCTGAGATGGATTGAACCCTGCATGACCTTGTCACTGGTCACAGATGGACGTTGGACTTGGGTGGAGACGACTAGTCCCAAGGTCCCTAGCTGCCGTTTACGGGGACAACATGCAGGGGAAGGTAAGTAAGTGGGTGGACAGTTCCGAATATCGTTTGACTGTGGAACACGTCACCAAGCAGAGGGACACACAGACCTTCTCTGTGAATCTGCAAACAAGGCTCAAGGCTGCTCAAGGACACCAGCAGGATGGGCCAACCCAAATTACCTTTTCCAGCTCAAAACGTTGTCTCTAACATCCATCTGTTTTCTGGGGGGCAGGTAGTGGTCTTTCCTTTGCACAACTTCAAAGTCGTGGGGCAAAAATCAAGTCAATGAATCTCCCACTCAAATAGCGCCTTCCTACAATGCTGTTTTTATAATATTCTTCGTTTTATGATGGCATAAATGTTATAACAATCTTATTAAATTGTTCTCCTGGTTATGTCTTTACATAACAGGGAGAGAGCTGTCCTTGGGCAAATAACTTTCCTCAACCTCAGTTTCTGCATCATTAACATGGAGGCGGTATCAACTACTTCCTAAATTGTTGGCAGATGAAATAAAAAGAAAAGTATAAATCATTGGCAGGACCTATGTAGCAGTGAATGTTTCAGAAATCACATTCATACTATTGTTATGCCCTTGCATATTACAAACATTTCTTACATATTCATGTAACATAGACTGCCCTCATGCACTGCTGAGTGCCAGAGGGGCATCTGTAAATACTTGTCCTTTTATGTTTTTATGACTTTGATTTTTAAAAATCTTCTTCTTGGAAGGAAAGCAAGGATTGTCCCCAAAGGAGGGTCTGGCCTCTATCAGCAAGGAGCCAGTGCTGATAATAGCCCACTTAAGAGGGGCTTGCTTCCAAGAGCTAAGGCTGGTATTCCGGGAATCATCTGATGAAACACATGCCGACCACAGGATCCTCTCAAGTTCACTGCTGTGGGTTAAGTTACACCACGCGATCACTCCTGTCCAATCAGGGTAGAGGTGGATAACTTGGCTTCTGGGCCTGGCCCCCTCACTACTCATGTTGGATGTTGGGCAAAACGCTTGCATTCTGAATCCCTGTTTACTCGTTTGTCAAACGGGGAGAGTGAGCCTTGCCCAGTCCATCTTATAGGGTAACGCAATGGACAAAATTACGGACTATGATTAAAGAGCCGTGAAGTTATTACACTGCTTCTGATCTATGCTTATAGCTAAGGGAATGATTGATGACTAAAATAGCCATGTTTTCTCATCTGTAAAACAGGGTTTTAAATAAATGTGTTTGCACATTTCTTTTCAGTCCTAACAGTTCGTGATTCTAAAAGTCTAAGATTCTAGGAAGTGAAATGAGACTGCCATGCAACTGGGGTGAGTAATGCTTTGAAGATAGCATCTCAGAAAGGAGCCCATGTCTAATTCTGAGCCAGCTTGGAAGCCCCATAATCAAGCTGCCCACCAACCCAGTGGCTGCTTGTTCTGAACCCCCTTCTCCACCTGCAGACTTGTAGGACCCTTCAAGGTCTCTCTCAGATGTCCCTTCCTCAATGGCTACTTTACCAACAGGTGCTGGTAGCTGGCTTCCTTGGCTCATTTACCGGACAAATTTTTATTGGTCTTTGGCACGTGCCATGTGCTGCACTGGACACTGGGAATTCACCCATAAATAAGAAGCATTTCTGTTCAAGCTCAGGAGTCAGATTTAAAAAACAGACAGTGGCAGTTCTCTGTGATGACTGTTGCCGCAAGAAGGAGTTCCACAGAAGCGTTGCCTTACTATCTGGGATATGTTTGCTTTCTTATTTTGCTTGATAGTGCCATTTAAAAATGGTTTTCAATTGAGCTTTTTATTTTGAGATAATCTGACTCACATGCACTTGAGAGAACTAATGCAAAGAGATCCTATCTACCCTCAGTTTCCCCCAATCATATCTTGGAAAACCATTTAGTACCACATCACAACCAGGATACTAACATTGATATGGTCAAGATACAGGACATTTCCATCTTCACAAGCCCTCGTGTTGGCCTTGAATTGCCGCACTCACTTCCCTTTCACCCCTGACTCCCCCCATAACCCTCACTACTCTGTTCTTCATTTCTATAATTTCATCATTTAAAGAATGCTTGGTAAATGGAATCATACACTTTGGGATTTGGCTTTGTTTTACATAGCAGCAGCCTCTGGAAATCCACCCACATTGCTGCACGGATCAATAGTTTGTTCCTTTAAATTGCTGAGTGGTATTTCATGGTATGATGTTCCACAGTGTGCTTAGTCATCCATATGTCCTTTCATGTGTTGAAGGATGGTTGTCTCTACTTTCCACTTTTGGTTATTATGAATAAAGTCACTATAAACATTCCTGGACAGGTTTTTGTGTGAACATATTATCTTCATTTCTCTGGGGAAAGAAATACCCAACAGTGATACTTTCTGACTTGTATGGCAAGGGCATATTTAGTTTTCTAAGAAACTGCCAAACTATTTTCCACAGTGATTGGACCATTTTAAATTCCCACTAGCAATGTATGAGTGGTCCAGTTTCTCTGCATCCTTGTCAGCATTTGGTGTTATCATTATTTTTTATTGTAGACATTATGAGAGATGTATACTGTTACCTCATTCTGGTTTTAATTTAAAATTTCCTGATGGTTATTCATGTTGATAATCTTTTCATGTACTTATTTGCCATCTGCATATCTTCTCAGTTGCTTATTTGCTGTCTACACATCTTCTTTAAAGAAATGTCTGTGTCTTTTGTCCATTTTTAATTGAATTGCTTTTTAAAAAAATGTCATGGCTGAGAGTTTCTTACATGTTCTAGGAACAAGTACTTGTTGATTATTTCTCCCAGTCTGTAGTTCATCTTTTCATGCTAACAGGGTCTTCCATGGAGCAAAAGATTTTAATTTTGGTAAAGTTCACCTTATCAGTTTTTCCCTTTATGAATTGTGCTTTTGGTGTTAAGACTAAGAACTCTTTACCTAGTTCTATGTCCCAAAAATTTTGTTTTCTTTGTTTCTGAAAATTTTTGTGATTTTGCATTTAAGTGCATGACCCATCTTGAGTTCAATTTTAATTGAACTTTTTACTCTAGGAATTAATGTCTCTCCATTCTAAAAAAGATTCTTTACTCTTATTTACTTTGTTTTTTCATATCCTATGTTTATCAATAAATTGAATCCATGTCTATTAGTCCAACTCTCTATTCTAGCTTTGACATATCTTGGACATTTTGAATATTTTGTTACAAGACTCTGGTTCTTATTTAATATCTTGTGAAACTGGAATGGGAGAAGGAGAATAACAACTCTCTTTTTAAATTTTAAAGATGTGGGGTACAATTCACGGTTAGGTACATAAGTGGTCATCGTACAAGGATACCAACTCTTTACTGTAGAACTGAGGTAGAAATCCTCACTTGGGCCAGCGATACCACCAAAGGAAGGGGCACAGGTGCTCAGTAACACCAGGTGGGATGGAAGTCTTGGCCCCTGAGAGGTCTCCATTGACATCGAAGGGGACAGATCTGGCTCATTACTACTAAGTGGTGGTGAAAATCTTGGCTTTCCAATTGGCCTCTTCTGACATCACCCTGGTGGACAGGGAAAGTGAGGTAGTCAAGGTTAACCACTTGATCTTGGTTGAATGGAGTTGAGATTATGGATTTTTTTCCTGGATGTTTTGCTATAATAGAATGTTTATTGTCAAAAAGTTTCTGTCTTGCTGGGTTGTCCCTTTCTAGTCCTTTGGCAAGAAAGAGAGGACTTTTTCTGTTTGGGGGTGTGTGTGGTTGTTATTGTTGTTAGTTTTTGTCTGTGCCCATTGGCATTTCTGAGTAGCAAGCTTCATTAGCATCCAGGATCTCTCCACCTTTCAGTCATTTTGTTTTCATTTTACAAGATAATGACAAATGGTTTCAGTTGTATTTAGCGGAAAGGATTGAGAGAAATATATCTGCTCCATCTTGTCTGGAACCAGCAGTCTCAATTCTCTGCTTTGTCTTTTCTTGTATAAACTATTGTTTTAAGTTGTCCAGAATGTAAAGAAATTCAAAACACAAGGTTCACATGTCTCTCTTTTTGGCCCTTGCAGTACTCACCACACGATGGACTCTTAGGACCCAAGGCCATGCTGCTGGGGTCCACTTCTTCTTACTTCGAGTGCATTTTCTTTCTCATCTCCCTCCATTGCTTCCAATCCATGTTCAAGCAAAATTCTCCCAAGGCCTTGACTCATAGTCAACCAGGGAAAACTTCCAATTTCTTTGCATTCAACCATGATAGGTAATTCTGGAGAAAAATACCCTTCCCTTCCATGGGCAGCCTCTCCATCACTGTTCAGAATATTTAATGTCTACATTTTCAGTTTTACACCAATGACAAGATCCATGCCCAGACAATGAGTGGGTGCCAACCTTTCAGTTGGGATTAAGTGGACTCATCAGAATGGCCACTCCTAAGATGAAGCATCTTTGAGCTTTGAAGACAAATCTCATCTTTCATCCTTAAAGCCAGAGGAAGCGAATTTATGACTTTTCCCCTACTTTTCTGACTATTGATACGTTTTTTAACAAAAAATTTTGTGTTCATTTTATTACAGAGAAACTAAGAGATCAACTTTGGTTCCATGAAACCCAGATGCATCACCCAATATATTATGGTTGTTTGTTTACCCACTACCTGTTCAGGAGTCCATGGGCTCCCTTCTTGTCTCATTCATGAATCCCCAGGGTCTAGTATGCTCAACAAAGGCTGTTAAATTAATAAATTAAAATAACTTCTTATATAGATCTCAAATCCTCCTTGGTTTTTTGTTTCCAAAGAATTTCCAGAGGTAGACAAAGCCTTAGAGTCCTATTTACAAGGGAGGACCCCTCCAAAAATGCCAGAATTATCTTTTTGAGAGTGGGATCCTTGTAGCACAGGCTTCCCCTACTAGGTAAGTATTCTAGGAACCCATTGCCATCAGTGGACCAGCTAGCATTGTTGTGACAGGCTGCGTTGAGGAAGAAACA